GCCAAAAAAGTGTGTAAGCTGCTTCCTGGCCATCGGGTCAGACTGTGAAAGTGCTTTAAATTACAAAGTTTTTATAGAATGCATAACTGTGCCCCCCAAACATCTGCTTAGGGGTGAGTGAGGGAGGATGGGATGTGCATTTACTGATGTGCAGTTGTTTAGAGATGACTAACATTGCTTGTTTCCTCACTGCATCAGCTCTCCCACCCTATGAGCTGCTCAGGCGTGTACTGCAAATAGCTGTAGCAATAAAGCCTAAGGGGTGATTTAAGAAAATAAAGCCTAGCACTGTGATCACCCTGCTCTCTTAATTGCCTAGCTAATAAGCTGGCCTTGAGGAGCAATTTAAACTGGGAAAGTCTTGTGACTTCCCTTAGTCAGGCAATTTTCCTGCTCTGTGCTTTCCTTGCCAAGTATTTCTCCCTGGCTCTTGCAAGAGCCGCTAGTAGGAAGCTGTTGGATGTCCCAGGGGTTTTCCCTAGGCTCTCGGTGGCTGCCTGCTCTGCTGCTTACTCTTAAGTCTTCTTCAAACACGAGCATGGGAGCAGAGCTGGCAAGAAACTCCAGGTTAAGTTTTCAGGTTGGGATAATGCATACCTAAAGCTCTTGGGGGACGAGTGGTGGGAACAGGAGAGTTCAAACCGCTATTGATGCTACAAGAAGGGAAAGTGGCAGGTCCTTGTTAGCTTTGTCCCTGTTTAAACCTCAGCACTTGCTTCTCCCTTTGAGACTCAAGTGCGTTCAGTGACACAACGGAAAGCTAAGTGTAGTCAAGGCCTCCTTGCTTTTAAAAGTTCAATTAGATCTTTTAACAGGACATCCATTATTCACCACACATGTTCATGGAAGGTGGTGTATCCACACTGTTCAGGCAAGGAATAAATAATTCATCTATTTAATGAAATTTGTGTCAACAGGGAGCTGTGGCAGGTATTATGAAATGGTAAGTAAAACTGTAGTATCCGTTATGAGTAAGCAGTGGGAAACTCAATAAGTATTTGCCAATTGCTAAAAAATGGGTTCTGTACAGCTCAGCGCTGAGAAATGAACTGATGGTTTGGCAAGCTGGGGAGGAGACAGATCTGCTACTTAGTTTCAGCAAATCTTGTCCTGCTTCTCTCACTGTTTCTGTGATGCTCTTCCCTTCTCATGCATTTCAGAGGAGCTGCCGGCTACATCCACTGAGTCCACCTTGTACGTGGAAGTGAGCAATTTTGCATTGTCTAGGAAGGGCTCATTTCATGTTCCACAAGGAAAAAAACAAAACAAAACAGAATAGGATATACTTTACTAAGTGCATGCTCCTGTTCTTTGCTTCTCAAAATAGTTGGAGGTGTGTAAGCTTGCTGTAAAACATGTGGATTAAATGATCAGATTTGGCATGCTGACAGCATAGATGCCATCGGAGAAACCAGAGAGGAGCTTCACCTGCCTTCACAACAGCAATTTAGCTTTCCACCAGTTTGAGCGTGTCCATCAAGAAGATATTTGGGCCAAATTTTGCTCCCTTAGCATCATGCTGTTGTTCTCTGCATTGCATGCTCCTGCTGAGCCATGGCTGTGTCACCTGATGGGTTCCTACCAGTGGAAATGAAAGGTCTTGTGCTGGTTTTACTGGAGCGTTGCAGAATTTGTGTGTTATGATAGAGGGAGAAAGCTGGACTCTTCCTTGGCTCTCTTGGGTGGACATGCTTGCTCTTGTAGGTGGATGTGGCAGGTCTGGGAGGATCTCCCCAGCAGTGCCCTGGGCAGTGGAAGTCCTTGTTACTGGGGGAAGACCCTGCCAAGCCAAGGGAAGAGGGAGATATGTGATATCTGATACGGGCAACCTGAGGCTGCTGTGGCAGGGAAGGGAACTTGCCTGCTCCCATGCTGCTGGCAGGTTGTGGCAGGTGTCACCTTCCTCCTACCTGGGATCTGTGTGAGCTCATCAGCAAAGTTTTTTTCTTACAGTAGGGGAACCCCTTTACTTACTTATTTTAAAAGGAAAGTATCATCCTGACTGGGAAGATACCATTTTTCTGTTTAAATGACACTTCTAGATTAAAAATTTAAATTAAAAATGAAACAACCTCAGTTTATTCAAAAGGAATCCAAAGAGGATTTTTTCTTAGTTTCCAATATTTTGCTGCTTTTTTGCAACAAAGTGCAGGAAAACAATTTTGAGGGGTTATTTAATGTGAGGGTTTATATATCAAGCAGCAGAGCTGCAGGATCCTCTGCCCATAAACATCTCAGAGCTGGAGAGGTGGGTGGGAAAGGAAGACCTGGAGATACCTTCTGGTAAGATTTTTACTTCCCTGTGAGTAGAAGACCTGCTTTTCAAGGACCTGACACAAATGGCAGAAAGAGATAGGTGGATAGAAGGCAATTTAATTCATAAATAATTCAACAAATCTCTCCTTCCCCTAGGGAGTGACTGATGCACACTGGGGCACTGAGCCCTATGGCAGAATGCTTTCAGGGAGCACCATTACCAAAACTCCTCTCTCCCCACCCAAGACCTGCTCAGACTAATAATTGCCACACAGGTGTCCCTGCCATCACTTGCAGCTGGATTCAGCATTTCCTCACCTCCTTTAAATCCCAAGCAGTGGTGGGGAAACACAACCTCTTGCTGCTCTTGAAGAGCCACGAAACTGTTGGGTTTCCTTCTGCTGCTTCTCCTGCATCAACATCTGGAGTGGGTGTGGGGCCGAGTTGTGTTGTTTTCCTCCTTCACAATCAGTGGCAAATGCAAAACTTTGCTCCCACTTGGAGGTTTTGCCATGTGGAGGGAAGGGGGCTGGGGGATATCCTCTCAAAAATCTTAATACCCACTTGGCGGTATAGAGATTTCTCAGGTCTGCAAAGCTCTGGAAGGTTCAGGAGTTCACGGGCAAACCTGGTAGGCGGCGAGGTGTCCCTTCAGCATCATGTGAAACAGCTTCCCAGGCTGGGCACTGCTGTCCTGGAGATGGAGGGAGGAAACCCACCCCCGTTGGCCCCCTGGCCCTCTGCTCCCCAGGGGGCAGCGGGGACCTGGCCAGCAATGCGGATACATGGGCACAAGGACAGCCACCGTGCAGAAAGCATCCTCCTCCTGTGGGGAGGCAGATGCCAGCAGGGAACTCATTCCTCAGAGATGAGTCCAGGCAGGGACAGATTTTCTTCTCAGCTAAAAGCCTTTTTTATGGTAAAATAGCCTGTGGGTCCTGGCAGAAACTATTTTTTAGTTTTCTTTGAAGAAATAGCAGGAATAACGTGCAAGCCTTGCTGCTTTCAGGTGACCAGCTTCTCTCTCCTCACTTTCCTTCTTCCACAGCTGCCAGCAGTAAAGGTATTGCTAGTGGCTGGAGTGAGGGAGCCCAGGAAAAAACAGTTCTCTCCTTTTTTTTAATATTTCTTTTTCTTCTCTGCAAATGCCTGTCCCCAGTTAACACAGCAAGGGTGAAGGCTGCACCTTGTCTCCCTGCCCAAGATGAAGACAAGTGCTGTGTTGGGAAGGCCACCTTTCCCCCGGTGCTGAGCTCACCCTGTTCCTGCCTTACCCTTCCCCAGGGTAGCTGGGCAGGAGGGGAAGATGCTGCAGCGCTCTCTGCCTCGTCTCCGCTCTGTCAGGCTGATGCGCTGTGACAGTTCTGCTGAATTGCTGACCCGAGGGGCTGCGCGGGGCTATTTATGGAGAGACAAAGCCGAGGGACACCAGGCGGGAGGCCAGCCTGAGATGTCTGCAGCCAAGAGCAGGTCATCTTTGGAGTTCCTTGGGTGGCTTGGATAGAAAACATGCTGTTTGGCAAAGGTCACGGGAAAACCCCCACGGGGCCATCCTCTGATTTTAACTTGTGTTTCCTCTGGCCCCACATCCTAGGAGCAGCCCAGATGATGATAGCAAAGTCTATTTTTAGGCAGTGGTTGTGATCAAATTTTCTTTTTGCAGGGAAATATCAAATCAGACCTCTGAGTAGAGGGCAACACACTTTGGCTGCTCTTCTATTACCCAGGTTTATTTTTATCTTTCACCTCTGGCGCAGCAGTCTGGAAGCTAGCAGAGGAGGACTGAAGACTTTTAATAATTCATGGCTCCTACATTTTGCTCCCAGGGATCAGAAAAGCAAGTTGCTGGAAAGTCGCTGCTGGAAGCCTGCTCCATCCCTGCCACAGGACCTGCCTTGGTGTTGCAGCCACTGTGCTTGCAGGCTGCTCTGCCCGATGGCCTGCCTGTGCCCAGGACTTTGTGCCCTGCAGTCCCTGGGCAGCAGTGCTCACAGCGGGATGGAGTTCAGGGTCAGGGGGCAGTCAGGACATGGCAGTGTGTGCATGTCCGCCTCAGCATGCTCAGGATCGACCTGCTGTTGTTCAAAGATGTGCTGTAACCTTAATCCCAGGCTGTCCACCCCTCAGTTCAAATAGCTCCTGAAATAATCTGTGCAGGCTGAACCTCAGGGGAGTTTCCAGGACCTCCCAGAAGCAGAGATTTTGATGCCATATCAGTTTTGTTTCTTTTAATTAAAAGCAATATTAGAACTGGGATGTGCTTTACATTTGGCTATGGAGCAGTCAGTCTTTGGAGTAGTCCTGTGTCTGGTGGAAGAACGTTTTGGCCCCAGAGCCTCATGTCATGTGCATACCGGTGAGGCTCTGCAGACCACAGCATCCTTCCTTGTTCCAACCCACCTGCAAGCCACTGCTTGGCAAATGCCTACTGAGGACGCAGAGGACTTTGAGGTGGATGGTGAGCCCTGGCAGTGGAAGATTGGGCAGCCTGCCTTTGCTACATGCTTGGCTTCCCAGCAGAGAAATGCTGATAGATGGGAAGACCGCTTTGGAGACTGAACCAGTCCCTCTGCTCATGGCTGCTCTGTGAACATGGGTGCTGCTGGGTTCAGCTTCAGACCTTGTGGTCCTGGAAGGCTCAGAGATGCATCTAGAGCATCTGCCTTTTGCAGTGGCTGAGAAGCTGCTCCCCTGCAAGCTTCTACATGCAGGCACCGAGGTCCTTCAGAATCTGCTCCACGTGGATGGAGGAGCTGAGTTTCAGCAGCCACTGTGGCAACGCACAAGGCGAGCCGAGTATTACAGAAGGCTGGTGTGTTGTGCCTTCTGACTTGCTGCTGTCTTGGCTCGTGGCTTTGCTCCTGCTGACAGCTTTATGGAGTGTTAAATTATTTCCAGGGTCCACTTGATGCTCTTGTCACATCTGAGCATGGCAGCTCCTTGGCACGTGTAGCACAGGAACTGGGAAAGGCAAGTTCAAAAGTGCTTTTGCTTGCTTTGAGCAGGAGCGAGGGAGTGCACCAGGCAGGATGCAGTGGTAGCTGCTACTGGTGCCTCACATCTTTCCTCACAGGTGCTGGTGGGAGCAGCAGCCTTTTAGCAGCAGCCAAATGCTGTCCTCTGTCCTCATGATGCTCACAAGAAGCTTGGCTGCAATCTCCACTGTTTCCTGGGCAGGCCTGCCATACACAGGCTTGCTGTCATCTTAATCTTTAAATATTATCCACCCTAAAATATCCCCAGGATTTGTCCTCTTGAGGAGTAAAGTACAAAATTCACAGATACACCTTTTAGTTAAACTGAGTGACAGATTTCCTCATCCATATTTATTGTGCATCAATCACTGTTAGGATGCCTGTGATCTCGAGTGTCTGTGTATGTCTTCCCATGTTGTTTTTCTCCCACTGTGAGCCGTGGCTTGCCTTAATTTGATTGAATAAACCCCCTATGTTGCTGAACTGTAGTGAGACATCATTGACAGGGCTATCTGGATTGGACCCTTCGAAATGGCTTATTCTTTACCCTGGAAGAGTGGGGTTTGCTACAGTGCTTTTTGTGTAAGGCAGACTTTTACTGCTGTTGGTCTGCTGTCCTTTGCAGAGTCAGAGCATGCATGAGCAGATCCGTTCTAGTTCAGCACTGCAAAGAAATGCTCGGTGTGGTGACTCCCCCAGCAAGAGCAGAGCTGCTGCCATACCCTGAGAGCCAGTGGGGTGGACACGGTGTGGCACCAAGGGCTGGCTCTTAGTGTTTGCAAGGAGTGGTGTAAGGCATTGACTCTGGGTCCAGATCGGGACTGGGGACCTCCATGGTTGCTACTGCTAAATGATAAGAGATATTTCCAGCTGGTGAGCTCACTAAGCACATCCTTTTGTACTACGTGCTGATGCCTATCTGCTTTAATGACCCCTGGTTTTAACTGCTCTATATTTGTAGGTTGTTAAAGGTCATGGGGAGAGGGGAAAAAAAAAAGGGAAGGGCTGTGTGTGAAAGTTGAGAGTATTGGGGGTGGGGAAATGTTCTGTTAAAATCAGCTCTTTTGAGGGGTGAAGCAAAGGGCTGACTATATCACAGCGTCTCCTGGCACAGCATTGTCCAGCTTTGCAGCCAGGTCCACACTTTGGACATTCATGATGGTGGCTTGCGCGTGTTACTGCAGCACTGAAGTCCCTTCCCTTTGCTTCATGCAGTTGCTCTAAAGAATCACGGTGCCAAAGAAGTGGAGAGGGATGGAGACAGCGGCAACAGACCAGCTCTGGGCTCAGCAGCAGTACCGGAGGGCGAGCTGCTCCTACAGGTTAGTGCTCCTCACTGGCCACCTCCCCCTGGCAGATGCCTTTAAGGGATTTTCCTCTTGTCCCCTTTCTAGCTTCTTTGAATTTTACCCAAAGAACAGACCTGTTATTGATTGCAGGATGTTTTGGTGAAGCAGTGATTTCATGTGGTGTAGCTCACATTGCTTCTGACTAAGTACAGGTTTAAGACCTGTTCAGGTCTCTGGGGCAGAAACTGTGTTGTTCTCCCCTCCTTTTCCCATCCTTCCTGGAGAAAATTGCTATCTGTAAACTGTCCGTAAGAAACTCTCCACCTTGGTGGAAGCAGTGCTGAATTTCTGAGCATGAAGATTCAGCTTTACTGCTTCTCTGCCCTTGTAAATGGGCCATGGGTGTAACAGAGGAGCCAAGCAGAGCAAGACGTTTTGAGTGTGGTTTTCAACATGGGCACACTGGTCCGAACTTGGGGATGTTGTCCAAACACCAGTGAAAACAGGGAAGAGAATGTTATGGAAGTCTTCCCTGATTTTCAGGCAGTGATGCACAACACTTGAGTACACAGGTGCTGATGGGCCATATGCTCCGCCCATAAACACAGGGCACATGGTTGTATTCCGGGAGCTCTGCAAGAGGCATATAGTTGTCTCCTTTGGTGATGCTGGAGGCAATGCTGGTGATGCTGGAGCATGGTTGGGCTGAGCCTGCAGATTCCTTGGTTTAGTCAGAGATGCCGGGAGATGACCTTATGTCTACAGACTGTGCAGAGTGAAATGGAAGAGGTCAGGCTCCAGCAGCGTGAGGTCCTGTGAGGACGTAGGTCTTCCCTCCCCGCCTGGCACCCAGGCACAGGCTGCAGCACTGTCCCCTGCCTGGCTGTTGTCCAAAGTGGGGTGAGCATGCTGGTCAGCCCCAACTCCTATCCAAAAGCTCACTCAGCAGTAAGTGTAACTAATTGAGAGCTGAGGAGCCAGGATCCCAGTGTCTAGTGAGGGAAATGCTAAAGCCAGCTTGGTTAATAATCAAAACCTGAGGGTTTTCTGCTGTGGATATAACAAAACCATGCTCAGCAGAGATTGCTGGGGATTGATGTCCTGCTCATCAACTCCACCCAGAGTTTGATGCCATCATTTTGGAGATACCAAGCTGTCTGTTAAAAGCTCTGGGTTTAGGTTTGGGTCTCCCAGGGGTCTGTCTGCATGATACTGAATTTGGCAGGGGCTCAGGACATGCATCTGTCCCCCAAGGAAATGCTCCTACATGTTTATAAAATTACTTTCACCCTGACTGTCACCTTTGACATTCAGACTTTCTTTGCCTCATCTCTTGGTTCACCCTGATTCTTCCCTTCCCCTCTAATTTTCCAGCCTTACTTTTTTTGGTCTGTCCTTTTCCAGTAAGGCTCTCTCCAGCAGAGTCTCAGCAGAGGAAGTTATCTTAAACTGGTGGTAAGCATGAAAATAGCTCTAAAGGGATTAAGACCTTAGGAAGGCTGAGAACTGGGTGGAATGCCTCTGCCCAGGTGCACAGCACTGCAGGTACGCATTGCTGGCTGCAGGGTATTAAACCTGCCTGCTGGTCAGTGCAGTTAGGGAAGGACAAAGTGCTGCAAGATGTTGCCTGCTCCTGCCATGGCAGAGCAATGCCTCTGAAACTGCTCAAAGGGTTAAAGTGCATTTGGCAGCACTAATTAACCTCTGCAGCAGATTCCCACACACTGAGATCAACCCCAGTAAATAGAGAGAGCATTTGTGCCCAGAATAAAGGGAAGGAGAGGGGGGAGAAACACTGACCTGGACAATCAAACAGGAGTTGGCAGCAACAATAGCTGGACTTGGCCGAGACTACACGCTAGACCCTAATTAATCCTGATGTCTATACATTACTAAGTGGGGGAAGCAGGCCAGGGCTGTCTACTGTGGCTTCCCTGCCTGCAGCAGGTTAGTGGTACAGGGTGGGTTTGGCTTCAGACAGCCATAGGGCTTCTGGGGTCAGCACTGCGGGAGGACCCCTGCCTTCTAGAGGGCTCCTGCTTCGAGGTGGAAGGGCTTTCCACATGGGGACCTGTTGCCCTTAGGGAGGGGTGGCCAGGTGGTGCTGTCACAGCAGTGAAAGCTGTTCAGCTTCTGGGGAGCTAAGCTGGTAATTTTCTTGGGTTTTCATGGCCCTTGCTCTTAGGCGGCACCATGGGCTTGAAGGTGTTTACTGGAAGTCTACTGGGATCTTTTCAGAGCTGGAGAAACTGAGTCACAGAGAGATGCCTATCACTTGGGGTCGGGAGGACATTCCTGTGGGCCTGCTTCCAGCCCTAGCAAGGTAATGACAAGGTCTTCAAAGCACTGGGCTCTGTGCCAGAGGTTTGCCCCCCGTCGTTGGCAAAGGTTGGTGCAGTGCCTGCCTGGAGCACTTAGGGGTACTCCCCTGGATCCTTCCAGGGTCTATGTTAGCAATGTTGTTCTGTGTATCAGGTCCTGCCTGGTGCCAGAGAGCAGAGATGAAAAACCAGGGCTCCTGGACATCATCTGCACTCCCAAACTGTTAGGGAAGCTCCTTGGCACCTTCTAATCTTCATGGATGTCCAGGTGCAAAGGACACTGTCAGCCAGCACCCTGGTCCCTTCTCCTATGTCCTGTCCTGCCAGCCCTGGGGCTTCTGGCTCAAAGAAAACACACAAATTACTTCGTAAATTTATTAAGCTGGTAGAAGTGAGCCCCTCTTGAGGAAGACAGAGGCTCTGAGCAGCTCAGCCCATTCCTGCTGGGAAATGCAGTGCTCCCTTGGATGTTGACTTTGCAGTCCTGGAGCTCAAGGAGAGGATGGAAGGGCCAGTGAACTGTAAAATATGTAAGTTGTGTAACATTAAAAATGCATTGGAAATTTCAGATTGATGGCTGCATTTGCTCTTTTCTGTGGGGAGGGCTTAGTGCTTCAACCCTGCATGGGCAAAGATGCTTAAGTATTTATTTTGTGAAAACAGAGCACAGTATTCAGCCTGTCTGGGCAGAGGGCATGCACAAATGAGCACATGCTCCAGGACAGGCTGTTAGCACTGTGTAAATCTGTACCCCACTCAGAGAAAGAGCTCCAGAGGAAGAGGAGCATGGCTGGGAGCATCTCGTCGCTAGTGTGCAATCCCAGGCACAGGTGGCTGCAGACATCCCTTCCCACCATGAACATCTGGAAGGATGGTGCTGTGCAGGTTGGATGAGTGCCTTGCAGCAGGTTGTTGCTGGGTGTGAGTTTGGGGTGAACTACACATTTGTCAAAAGGAAAAGGTACTTTGAGGTTAACCAGTGATTCTCTGGCTTTCCCCCAAGTCCAGGGACCAAACTCAGCCTGTCATCCCTCCTGCTTTGGAAGAAAATAGCTTTTTAGAAATCAGATGGGTTTTGCTATGGTTTCAAAAACCAAACTCTTATGCTTAAGCTTTCACCTTTTCCATTCTCACTAGTTAAGGCTCTTTGCAAAGCTGGGCTGGCCACCTCAACCACAGGGTGTGATGCAGGAGGAGGGAGCGGGCAGTGGAGACACCACCTTACTAGGCCTTGTTCCTTGCCCATGGACAACCCAGGCAGGTGCACCATAGTCCTTCTCCAGGCCTCTCCTCTGGTACCAGGGGAGGACAGGAGGGATGCAAACAAGGCCAGGAGCTGGGCAGGTTTCTCTCAAACCAGCAGGAGTATCCCCATCCCCATGGGCCAAGCAGCAGCAGGGAATGCCCAGCCAGTGCTGCAGGATGCAGTGATCTGTGGTGGGTTTGCTGTCCACTGAACATCCCCCAGCTTTTTCAGCCTCACACTGTCCTAAGCCACACACAGCTGCCAAGACTCTCCTGTGCTGTCAGGAGAGTGGGAACTATATGAGCAGAGCTGACCAGGTAGATGTGGGTCAACATTAAATGCAGCTGACATAAAATACTGTTTTGATTCAAGATTGTCAGAAAGGCTTGTTTCTGCCAGAATAGCAGAATGAACCAGGTCCTGATGGCATCCAGTTCCATTCTGCAATCAGTTCCAAGATTTTAATTTGCTCTTCAAATAGGATAAGTATAAATGTCCAAATCTGAGTCTGAGCAAATTCTTCTGGGATGGATGCAAAGTTTTCCATCAGTCTGGATTAGGATATGCTTGGGCAGCTGTACAGAAGAGCTACATGACCTCAGAGAAAATCAGCAGAAGGTACCATCTGTTTTCTTGGTGAGCACATCTCTGCTGGCGTTGATCCCTGTTTTTCTCCAGCCAGTCTTCAGTTGCTGTTTACTCAAGCAAGGCAGAGTGGAGGAAAATCTGAGAATGAGCTGCAGGCTTTGACCTCTGCTAGGTAAAGCAGGCTCATCAGGTCTGCAAAAACCTGTGGTTTAGGTGCATGTGCTTTGGCACCACAGCAAGGTAGAGGCAGTTGCAAGGATGGAGGTCTCTGGTGCTGACCCCATCTTGCAGGAAGGGTATAAAACCAAGGAGCTGCTTGAACAGTGCATCAGAGGATTTGGTGAGATCCAGGGCAGTACTCAGTGTTACAACAGCAAGATGCCATTGGAGAGGGCTTCCTTTCCTTCCAGGTCTTCCCATGCTTTATCTCCTGCCTGCACCTTTCTCTTGGTGGGGCAGTGGCTCAGCTGCCTGCTAGCTGCTAGACGTGCCAGGACTTGGGTGACCAGTGTCCAAGCAGAATGGAACTCACTGCCCTGCTAGAAAAGGGTGATGTGAGCATGACATGTACCTGTTGATTTTCTCTCTACCCTAGGCGCTCAATGGCTTCGTGCTGGTGGTGACATCAGAAGGACTGATATTTTACTCCTCACATACGATTCAGGACTATCTGGGATTTCACCAGGTTGGTGGGACACCTTTGACTCACTGTGATGGGTTTGCAGGGTGGGTTTTTCCTTGATGGTGGAGAAGAGCCCCAAGTTCCTTGCAAGAATGAAGTTCTGCGGGGATCACAGGGTCTCAGTGGGGCTGCATGGGGCTTTTCCTTGGTCTTGTGAATTTGGACCCTGTGTTGCCAGACGTGGTCGCTGGGAGGCATCAAAGCAACTTCACTAGTCCACAGATGGTTTCCACCAGCCACACTGACAGGCTATGAGGTTCATGGCCCCGTTGTGCAATGCCATGCTAAGATGTCTGCGGTTCTCTGCCCAGTTTGCCTTTGGGCAGCCACTCCTCTGGGTGTTAAATCCCATAAGGCTCCAATGCTTGAAGGTACTAGGTCAGATTTACAGGGAAGTGGGACTTAATCTACAATCCTTAAATTACTGTGGTTTGGTGTTGCTCCCACACTGCTGGCTTTCCCCAACATCTCGGGTAGATGAGTTCTGTCCTCCTAGGCAGAGGGAGCAAGTCCAGGAGCAGGTGTCTTGTTCTCTCGGGAACAGTGGTAGGGATGGAGTGGCTTTGCTGCTGTTTTGTTCTCAAACCAATGTTTTCCTCTCGATGTTTTCTCACTCTGATCTGAGTGATCAGCGCTCAGATTTCAAAGGACACCATGTTACAGGGACGAGCATGTCAGAGGGGAGACGTATTGCTGATGCTAGTCGCTCTTTAGGATGGAGGGAGGTCTGGACCAACATGAGTAAAGGGTCCTTAAAGCCATATGTGCTGTATGTTGCCATGAGCATCAACTGTGGTGGAAGGTATCCAGCTCCATTCAGCCAGGGACCTAGTTGAGCACCGGGGAAATTGGGTAAGATATGGCAAATCAGGGCTGTGACAGGCTGTTTCCAGGCGGGATGTGAAAACCAGCACCTGGGGACAGGCTGCAGAGCTCATGCATTATTTTCTTCCTCTAGACAGATGTCATGCACCAGAGCGTCTTTGAGCTGATCCACACCGAGGACCAACAGGAATTCAGACGCAACCTCCACTGGGCCCTCAACCCACCCCACGTTCCCGAGGGTGAGCCTTCTCCAGAAGGTAAACACAGTCTGGAAGCCAGGCAGCCTGGTTGACACAAGATGTGTAGCTCCCTGCCTACGCTGGGGAGCCCAAGTCCCTGACGCCGCTTGTATGGGGCTTGTGTCCCAGTGGCTCAAGCCATGGCTTCATCCAAACATTGTGGCTTTCCCCGAGTTTCTGTTGCTGTGCTCTGGAAACCGCTGCAGTGCCCCATGCTGGGGACCTCCAGCCCTTTCAAGGAACCTCCAACCCTCGCTGAGGGGAGATCCTTGCTTGCTCCTCTCTGTCCCTCTTTCCCACAGCAGGGAAGGGTCTCTGCTCTTCTGCTGTTGCCTACAAGCCTAATCAGCTGCCCCCAGAAAACTCCTCCTTTCTGGAAAGGAGCTTTGTGTGCCGTTTTCGCTGCCTCCTGGATAATTCCTCTGGCTTCCTGGTGAGTACAGACCCACGCAGTGACCTCCACAACAAGAGAGGTGCAGGCTCACCCCGAGGGGTTCATGCCACTACTGAAGCATAAAAGTTGGCCTTGAAAGACCCAGCACTCATTTCTGCCACGTGCAGCAACTGCCTGTCTCAATATGGAGATATTTCTGCTGTTTTTCATAGGTTTGGTCTGTAACTACAACCTCTCTGTGTAGGTTTTGTTCCTCTCCTCTCACAGATGCTGAATGTTGAACAAAAGTGCTTTTCCTTCACATGTTTTGCTAGGTTTTTGTGCTAAAGTCTTGTCTTAAGACCAAGTAGGTGGTGTTCATCCCTCTTTCTCTCTTCTGCCAGTTAATGGGGTTCTTACCTTCATAACCACAGGTGTAATGACTGTGCTTCTCTCTCTCATCCCACTTTAGTCTGGAAACTTGGTACAAAGAGCCCTAACTGTCCCTTGTTTAGAAGCAATGTTACAATCCCTGATGGGGCTGTGATACAGCTCAGTTAAAATGCAAAGCAGCTCATGTATTGTGTGATGCTCTGATGGAGCTGCAGCATGTGCTTGGTCCTGCAGCCACCATGTGCCTGAGCCCTGGGCCAGCAGTGAGCAGCTGCAGGGGGAGAAAGCAGTGGGCTGCTGCTGCATGGAACTCAGTGTAGCATCCCTTTGATCCTCTCTCTTATTTTAGTGGGGAGCATGAAGTCGCAAGGGACAAGTCACGAGGAATTATTTGCATCAAAGCTACAGAGAGATGGCTTGCTTTCCATGCAGCTCTTCTCCTCTTCTCTCTCCATCCAATTTTCTGTGTGACACCAAACTTTACTTCTCTTCCCAGGCTTTAAACCTTCAAGGCAGGCTGAAATTCCTTCATGGACAGAACAAAAGGTCTGAAGACGGATCTGCACTGCCACCCCAGCTCGCTCTCTTCGCTATCTCCACACCCTTGCAGCCACCATCCATCCTGCAGATCCGAACCAAGAACATGATCTTCAGGACAAAGCACAAGCTGGACTTCACCCCCTTGGCATGCGATGCCAAGTAAGCAGCAGAGCTGATCTGAGGGGTGATGCTGTGGGCTTCCAGTGTGCCATGCCATACCCTGCCTGGGTGATGTCCCACCCTGGCTCTGCCTCTGAGTGGGGTGTGTTCTCGGCCTTCCACAGGGGGAAGATCGTTTTGGGCTACACTGAGGCAGAGCTGCGGATGTGTGGCACTGGCTACCAGTTCATCCATGCTGCCGACATGCTGTACTGTGCTGAGAACCACGTCAGGAGTAAGTCCCTTCCCTGGTCACTTGTGCCCACCTCTAAGCATCCTATGGGGAAAGAGCTGCTGGGCTCTGCTTTGCTTCATGCTTTACTGTGATGTTCTTGCTGCTGTAGGGAGCTTGGGGTGGGGTGTAGTGAGGGGTGTTTAGCTGAGATGGCGTCCCCTGTGTGTGCCAGCCATGCTACTGCTGTGACTACCTGCTTTTCCTGGCTGGAAATGGCAGTGTCGCTGGAGGCAGCCCTGCCTCTGGTGACATGCTGACAGCCCTCGGCACACATGCTTCCTTCTGGCAGTGATGAAGACAGGGGAGAGTGGCCTGACAGTCTTCCGCCTGCTGACAAAGGAGAATCGCTGGAAGTGGGTGCAGGCCAATGCACGGCTCGTCTACAAGAATGGAAAGCCTGAGTACATCATTGTCACACAGAGACCCCTCATGTAAGTGCCATCTGGGTCAGCACAGGCTAGGGTGGGGACAGGCCGGCTTTTTCCATTGGTGTGGGCTCTGGGACTTCCTGAGCAGGGCAGGATGTTTGATTCTTCATTGCTTCTTGTGCCTTTTAAAGGAGCAGCCATCAGATACTGTGCTGTGATGCTGTTCAGCCACATCCCCCTCTGCAAGGCCACCCTGCAAGTATGGGAGAGCACTGAGCAGTGCCCTGCACCTCACATCCCTGCCCCACTTCCCTGGGCACTGCCCCAGACTTACCCTGGGGAGACTGGTGACTGCTCTCCAGCAGCTGTAGGGACACAGGGGTGCAGGAACAGCAAAGACATCTAATGTGGCTGCTGTATGGCACAGCCCAACATCCTTGTCCTAAAGGGTGGCTGCAGCACGGATGAGCAAGGCAAAGATGTGACTGCTGTCAGGCAGAGCTCTGTTACCCTTTGCATTTTAAGTATCCTCTTGGTTAGGCTAAAGGTATGTTTTTATGTGTACGTACATATAAAAATATGTATATTTGTACTTGTATGTAAACATATATGTAAATATATATAACTGTGTGGTTCTGCTTGGTACAATCCTCATGCTGGTCATAGCAAAGGGGCTTTGGCATGTAGACATCACAGTTACCCATTGCAGAAGCACTTAGTGGGGTGTGTTTGTGCACATGCAAGAGACAGTTTCCTCTTCTTGCCCTGCAGAGATGAAGAAGGAGGAGAGCACCTTCGGAAACGGTCCATGCATCTTCCCTTTACCTTTGCTACAGGAGAGGCGCTCTTATACCAAAGCGCTTACCCTCTCCCGGGCTTCCCTGACCCTTTCCAGAGTAAAGGGAAAACCAGCAAGTCCAAGAAGACCTCCCACAGCCATGGAGGGTGCTCCCAGAAGAATGGCATTGACCCCAGTTCTCTGCTGGGCGCTGTGATGCAACAGGACAAGGCGGTGTACATGTCCTATCCGGCTCCCACACCTAACCACTCCTTCAGCAGCAGTTTCATGGACCATCTCGAGAACGTGTCCATTCTGGATGCAGGAAGAGATGCCTGGAGTATGGGTGCTGCTCCAGTTTCTTCAAGGGGGAACATCCTCAAAGGTGAGCTGGTGGATTTGCAGCAGGAGGACCCTCTCTTGGCCACCCTGGATTCGCTGTCAATTAAGAGTGATGAGAACTGTTCCAACAATGAGCTCTTCAGTGCACTGGAGGGCCTGGGGTTGAACGCTGAGGACCTGGAGCTCCTGCTCCTGGATGAGAAAATGGTGATGGTCAATATGGACTCTGACCACACCCCATCCTTGAACGACTGCTTCACCAGCAATGAGATTCTCTCGTACATCCACACCACTCTGGTGAACAAGCATGAGGGAGGACAACAGGTCTGTCCCCTGCCAGGCACATCCCTGAGCCCAGGTGGAGACACTGCTACATACCAGGACCATGTGGAGAATGAGGACTCGAAGTACCTGCCCCAGCCTGCGGTGCAGGCCAGCGTTGCCTCAGGCCAGCCCCCTGTTCCGCTGTGGGAACAGCCCCTCCATGCCGTGCTGGGGCAGCCGCCTCCGCTGCTGCTGGAGCTGGATGAGGAAGAAGAGCTGTCCAATGGCTTGCAGTGGAGGCCAGCTGGGGAGGAGGGTCTTCTCTGCTTCCTCCAGCCGGCACGGGGCACCCTGTGGGACAAGGTGCCTGGCTCACCCACAGAAGTCCCCTGCCCGCAGGATCCACGCCAGGATCAGCAGCTGGAGGGTGACTTCCCAGCCATGCACCCTGCCCAAGAGGATGCTCACCGGTCCTTCTTCCTGCCTGGCCAGTGCCAGGAACCCGTGGGGCCACCCAGGCAGCCAAAACAGCGTCACTTGCTGATGAATGGGTTGTGTGGCCACAGCCCTGACTCTGCTCCACACCTTCCCAGCAGCAGCACCAGCCCATGGCAGGACTATGTTTCCCCACTCCTGGGGTCCCCAGCTCAGCCTGGTTTTTATGGAATCAGCCAGGACTTGATCTCCCAGCACCAGGGCTGCTTGGGTCCAGGGCCTGGCACACCGACAGTACACTTTAACTTGAATGGCTTAAGCAGTATGGAAGCTGCCAGCAATGGGAGATCACAGGAAGAGATGGCTCCATACTCCAGTATTTTCCCCTCCTCCTCATACCAGCTTATTTCCGAGAAGCAGCTGAGCCCTGTTCCTTCTGTGCCCCAGCCCCCTTTTCCGAGCTCAGCTGCAGGGCACTTTGGGAGCATCAGCAGCCCACTGGAGACTCCCGTGAACAGGACATACTCCTCCACACTGAGCCAGGAGAGCAGGCACAGGGTAAGGGCCTTTCTCCACTCTCATGCCCACTACTTTCTGTGCTGGTATTTCCTGGGGGTCTCAGTACAGGGAGGCATGCACTGTCAGGTCAGTAAAGCGAAATTGCCTTGCTCTAGCTGGTGCATAACCAGAAAGAAAGACTTCAGGAGCTTTTCTTTGCACCAAGAGTTGAAGAGCAAAAGACCAGAGTGTGGGTTCTTCCCTTTAGAAGGTTGCTGTCTCTGCATCTGATTTCCATATGGTTTGTTTAACTGCCGTTTCTGTATAGGGAGTAATTCCAGCCATGCACTGGTAAATTTTGACAGGTGGTACAAAGCATGTGTGAGATCATCTCTATCATAAGGTCTTTCCTTTATGGAAGTGTCCCCTGCCCTGTGTACAACTGCTATTGAGAGCCCATCCGGATGCTGCTAGCCCTCCAGCATCACTAGGCAATGCCTGCAGCAGTGTATTGGAGTGTCACGGTGCCCTTCGGGGCTGTCCTCACAAGTGTTTCCCCTGGGACTGGGGCCAACAGCCCAAACCAGGGCTGCTAGGGAGGGTATAGGGAGTGAAAGCTGCCTGGTCCTTTTCCCTCTCTCTGATGCAGATGTCATGCATGTCTGTAAGGGTCATCATCTTTCTATATTGGCACTGGTAGCATGGGCTAGGTCCTGGAGGAGGCTATCTCTGCAGTGATACCTCCACAGTCCACAGCACTACCAGGCAGGGTGAGATGTCTAGGGTGGGTCTGTCCCTCCTCTCTACTTACCTAGCCCTGCCCTGGCAATTACTGTCCCTAGGGCAGCTTGATCCCTGGTGCCAGACATCATCTGCTACTGGAAGAGTACCCTTCTGTCTCATAGGGATCTCTATGTTAACCTCAGGGGCTATCAGATGCTGTCAAAGCATCTTCTGCTTCTTCCTGAAGGCACCTCAGGTCCTGCCATTCTCCATCTCCTCTAACTGGATACACCAGGCACCTTCTAGCTTTGTTGAAGAGCTTGACTCTGGTCCTGCCTAGGGGTTTGGGAGCTTGTGTCAGGGCTGTTCTTCACTAGTCCTACATCTCTAGCGCTTGGTGACACCTCATGCGGCTGGCATGCTTTTGGCTTGCCAGAAGTGCAGCAAGGGTGCAAGACCAGGTGCTTGCTTCACATACAGTCCAGGTCCCTGTGATTTACTGCACATGATTGAGCTGCAGGGCTGTGACACCTGGTTAGGCGTTCTCAATTAGCAAGTCAGTAGGTGAAAATTAGGGCCAGCTGAGGGGGTTGGAGGCACTTGCCTTCTATGCACTTGCAGCCTCTTGCCAATGAAGTGACAGGTTGACATCTGCAAGAAAGGACCTGGGGGAAGGTGTGGGTGCATGTATGGGTTTACTGCTAAGCTGCTGTACCATGGGGGTGGTAGAGCTGGAACAGACCTCCTCCCCCTCCTGCCAGCCTCCTCTGGGCCTCAGCCTGACCAGTACCAGTAAAACACTGCAAAATGCCTCAACACTCTCTCCTCTCTCTCTTCTCCTAGGCTGAAAGCAGCTGTGTTTTGCCCATCTCTTCCGTGGGACTCTCCAGAGACTGCCCGATGCTGGGGGGGAGCCTACCTCCCTCCCGCCAGCCGCACCCTCGGGCAGAAACGCTGCCAGATCACCCTCATGCCTCCAGTGGTGACTTCTGTCTCTAGGAGAGAAGTGGAATGGACAAAGCAGGACTGTTCCCTGGGGAAGGAGCTGCCTTCAAGTTGCGACCTTCCCCCTGCCACACATGTCCTGCCATTCATTGCTCTTGATGTTGGTTGCTTTGGCTCAGCTGTGTTTTTTTTGTGCTTTTTAATTACATTTTTATCAAATTCCCATTATCATACCCTGCCAAGGCTCCATGTGCTGGTCCCACGGAAGTGTCTCTGTAGCCAGCAGCAGAGCTACAGGGCAGATTTCCCCAGGGCACAGAAACAGGCTGGGCTGCTGTGCAGGTCAGGCAGTGCATGCAGCCTCATCTTTATCTCATGGTGTTCAAGAGTTGTGTGGCTCTTGGTCAACTGGAGCATCTCGGAGAACATTTGCACTTGCCATCTCTCATCCTACCCACCCAACCTCCTTGCTTTTGTTTCCCTGGTGGGGTGAGCATCTGCCCATCCTGCCTGCGCATCTTACTGAGTCAGCTTTGAAATGTTTGGGCCTTTTATGTCTTTTAAATGGCATTTGGAGACTATCTGTTGCTCTGGAAAGAAAAAAAGGATTGCTCTCTATTGCCAGCCATGCTGCTGTATTGAAGGTGTGATGTTTGTGTGGCAAATCCCACACTTTGCCATGAAGCCACGGAATGAGCTCTCCATTGCACCAGTCTTTGCAGTTCTGCTGTTAACTGAATGCATTTCTTTGGTGCATTTTCCAGGCTTTTGGAAACCCAGGCTGCTTCCATGGCTGTCACTTGGCTCCCATGGTTTGGTAATCCCTGACAGTGTCTGTGCAGGGCAGCCCTTGCCCCAAAGGACAGATGGGTTTCTGATGGCTAATGTCCTCCAGCTCTACCAAAGCTTTGCAATTATATGCGTGATCCAACACAGATGCAAGACTTCTGTATCCAAAAAAAAAAAGACAAGAAAGGTTTTCACCTCTAAATTTCCTGCGATCTCAGCGAGGCGCTTGTGGCTGTGGCCACATTGTACAGATAATGCCTGTTTTATAAAGAAAGTGAATCCTGACTTGGGTTTTTGTGTTGCACTGGTCCTTCTCCACCCCAGGTTTCTCTGTGTCCCAGATGTTCCCATTTGATAGGATCCAGATTAGAGCTCCTCTAGCGAACACCCTGGGTTTTGCTGTGCTCTATGTGATATGCCCAGTTTGACTGATAAGCAGTTCGTTCTTCTGGGTGATGGGTCCTGAGGTACCTGAACAGGCAGCAGGTCTCATTCTCAAACAGCAAGAACTGGCTGGCATATAAGCATCTGTGCCTAAAAAGGTTGAAGATAAATAGTGGAGCTGCCTAACCTTAGGAGATTTCAGATTTACTGTATAAAAAGAAAAAAAGTTTTCAGTAAGATAAGTATAATGATACTTAAAATTAAGTACTGATAGAGTGATATTTTCCCACATAAAATAAACACAGCCCATATGTATGTATATAATACGAGTTGACAGATTTATTTTTATGCCACTCCAGTGGAGAGAAAAAAATCTTCGTACCTTCCTGAAGTAGCATCCTATGGAATGGAACAAATAGGCTGTTCAGAAGATTGGAAATACAGCGACACTTTAAGAAACCTGACAAAGCATCATCCTTCCTCCTGCATGTCCGGCTTTGGTTTCATGTGAACTTTCTATTCTTTTCATTTCAATAAATGTTTTTGGACCTCAGGCCCTGTTATCTCCCTTGCTGGTTGTGTGTCTTTTCCCTGTCTCAAGCATGTCAAGGTTTGGCTGGCTGCAGTGTTGGAGCCCAGGTCTTGACGCTGGTGAACTGGGGCAGCAGCCACATGTGAGAGAGGCAGGCTGGGCTCATGCTGGTATGATGAAGGCAGTTGCAAGCTGCGCAGTCAAGGTGCATTCCTGTGTATTTCCCCCACCAGAGTAAGCCAGAGCCCCTCAAAGGCTCCTGCAAAGGAGCTTTCACAGGTTGTACCTGCTTTTCCTTGTTTCTGGGAGTATGCCCAGGTCATGCAGTGGAGAGAGCCCAGCCTGGAAACCTTTGTGAATAGCTGAAGAAGGGGGCAGTTGAGCTTGCATGTGGGTTTGGTGTGTAGTCAGGCTGGGGCTGTAGGCTCTGGTTCCTGCTAGCCCTGCCTGTAAGAAGCCCTCTGTTCAGGGAGATTAAAGCTGCTTCTGGGTGATGTTCAGTCCCTGGAGAAGAAAATCTCCTCTGTGTGCAATTGCTTTTGGTTCAGACCTGTTGTCCTATCTGATGCTGGGGACTGCCACATGTCAGACGTAGCCTGGAAGAGCTGAAGGTGAAGCCATTGTTGGGATGACGGGCAGCCAGGAGCACAGCCACCCCACCACAGCAACACTCGCAGCCTTTGGGATGCCAGGTGCACCCCACCCATCTTCCAGCTCCTTCCATGGGCATGTCTGCAGCCCCATAAGTACCTGGAGTGTACTTTATGCAGTGCTGGAGAGGTTGGTGGGCTGAGCAGGCCTGGGCCATGTGGTGGGTACTACAGCTGCTGCCTGGCCAGTCCATGAGCATTGTCCCTTTATTGCAGGAGCATCTTTGGCCAGCTCCAGTGGGTGACACCATCTGGTCTTCAAGGTGGGTTGTGGGTGTTGGTACACTGTGGGGATGTGGCATTTCAGAAGGCTCTCGGGACAGCCTGGAGATTGTGACTTCTGTCTAGAGAAAGCAGACTTCATGTGCCCATTCTGTCCCTTGGGAATCTACAGGCAATGTGGAGAGAAAGTGGATAGGGTGAGATGGTGAACCCCAGTCTCTAAAAGAAGCAAGTCAGCTGACATACAAAGATTTAAATCTCAGTAGGTTTGGAGAGTTGGTACCCAGGGGTATATGAAAAGAATCACTGATCTGGTGGTCTGAGTGTCTGATGATTTTAAAGGAATGGGGAGAAAGCAAATACTCTGCTAGTATTTAGAAAGACTCAGGTGGGATACCAGAGACCAGCATGTCAGTTGAGTTTATATGGACCAGGGAAAGTTCTCAAGAAGGGCAGTTGGTTGCTCTAACATGAAAAGGTTTCTCTTATTATGCAGTGTTGTCTTTATGCAAAATAAAATTTGGGTGGTTTTTATTCTTTTTTTTTTCCCATTAAAAATAACATCAGAAACATGTTTGAAATGAACTAAGAAATTTGATGGAGAAGGGTGAGCATGTGGTTACAACAGACTTCTGTGAGATCTTTTTGTTCATCCCACATGACCATCTGATCTAAGAAAGTATCTGCAGTATACAGAACCAGAAGCTTCCTCTGGGCTGGCCCAGGAAAGCTCTCACATACAGCAGTTTGAAATGTGAGCTTTGCTCAGGTTTGGGATAAAAGTGCAGTTTTCTGTGAGATCAGTTGTGCAGCCTAGTATATATTAAAAAAACATAATTAGAGACATATTGAAATATAAAATGTATATATTTATAAAATGCTTATGTATTATAAAGTGTCTTTTATGACAAACTAGCTGATACTTTTAATCTGCATTGTTTTTTTCAATCTGGAAATTAGAAAAAACAGAGGGTTTTTTTCTGAATATTAAATTTTAGCATATTCCCACCCCTGCCTGGCACCTGCTTTTCCATGACATTGTAACTTTTCTCAAGTTTGATGGAGACATGCTGGGAGAACTAGATCTTCACGAGTTTCTGTGCTTTGCTCTGCTTTTTCTCTCTTTTTCTTCCTAATGAGTTGGCTATGGGCAGCACCATGCACTTCTAGTGGTCCATTGAATGCCACGTGCTGAGAATAACCTGACCACTAGTAAAACTTTCTTCTTGAGCCAGGTCCTGGATATGCAGTCAATCGTACCGATGCCATATACCCTGATTGGTTTCTCCTCTTCCTTGCCACTTGTCTCCACAGCCCCAAGAACAGCCAAAGAGACCTAGGGAGAACTACAGCCCTCCTGGCTTTATCACCAGGGCGCTGTGCTTTACTCAAATGTGGCGTCAATTTGTCTGGTGCTGTGTTTCTGTGAGGTCTGTGGAGCAAAAGCCATCATCTCTGCAGCAAGAGGTGCCCTGCAGCAGGTGCCCTCTGCTCTTCAAGGTGGCCAGCACATCCATAATTCATGCCCATCCTCACACCAGCTGCTGCTTGTCCTCCTCTGGGCTTTATGGCAATGATTTGCAACACACTGGGCCAGCTGAGGGAGCCTGCCTGGAGTAAAACCTCTTGTGTGAGCTGCAGCAAAGGAGAAGCCACTGTTCAGCATCATGGCACCCACAGCCTGCCCCAATCCATGGCAGTAGAAAAGGGGGATCAGGCACATATACTGTTACACTCTTGTTTGCACACCTGGGGTGAGCACTGTCACGTGGGATGTGTTCACCCCTGAAGAGCTGGATGAGTCTGGGGAAGATGTGAGAAAAGTATATGGAGAGATTTCGGGATGTTTGTGTGGCTCTGCGCTTGGGTCCATCTGGGGAAGGGCAGGAAGAGCTGTGGTGCCTCCTGGCTTGAGCCTCCTCGCAGCAGGATAAAATGTGTTTGGGTGTCCTTGCTCCGGCTGTACTGGGGAGGTGAAAGTCCTACACCCAGCACTTTACCTACACACTCCTAGTCCTGCGCTCTCTATGCACTCTGCTCTGCCTCCATGCCCCAGGTCTGCTGTTGACTCTGCCATGTGGTTGTGGGCAGCCAAAAATACATGACTTATGTGAGGATCCAAGAGAACTTATTGTTAGTCAAGTTCATGTTTGAACAGCCCAAGCAAAGACTTAAGAAAGTCCAGTTATGGTTCAGTTGGGTGCCTCACACGCACTGGGGAGATGCAGCCTCCTCACAGAGGGAGATGGACATCAGTGGCAAGGAGGGGCTGAGCCTAGGTGAGCCCTGTGCCCTCCAAGGATCAGACCCTGGTGTCCCCTCACCCATAGCAGGGGATGCGGATGACCTGGGAGCAGTGGTGAGAATGTCGGGGCCTGATTCACACCCTGCTGGGTTATAACTGAGCAGATTTAGCACTTTTAATGGCATGCACAAGGGGGAGGTGGAAAGCATTTTTCCTCTGCATCTTTCTCCTTTACCTTTGTGCCCACCATTTTCCCAAAGCTGCAGCAGATGCTAGCCGAGGCAGGGGTCTCTGAGTCACAGCCTGCAGAAAAATGAGGCTCCTGGCTTAAGCCAGCTAGGAGAGGTGACACCTGATGCTGCCTGCATCCATGAGGCTGAAAGCACCGGTCCCCGGACAGCATCATGGAGGCCAGGAGCAGATGTCTCCCAGGGCCCCAAGGCAGCAGAGAGCAAGGTAAATATTTTTATAAAAGCTCAGCCTGGTGTTTGTCCACACCACCTACGTGCACCATCCATTATACATGGGGGTTGGAGCCCTGGGCAGTAGAGCAGAACACTTTCTGATAGTTTATGCATTAAATAGAGATGAAGAAGGACATGGGGAGGTGGGGTTTGTTCACTCCTATCCCGTGTCCTCTTTGCTGGCTGCGGCTTGGTGCCAGGGCCATGCTGAGCTCCCATGGCAGGCGAGAGGAGAGCCCCAGACTGGTGCTGTATCCTGACTTGGAACACCTGGGACACTGGGTGTAAAGTTAACTAGTGTGTTCCTGGGGAACAGCCGACACACCTTTCACTTTGGTTTAAATAATTTAAAAACTTAGATGAAGCATAAAGTCTCTTCTAATACACAGGTGCTTCAGAGCATCTGAACTGTGCAATGCTTTGTACCCAATACTGAGTTGAGTGGCCAGCCATGTACACAACCTTCTGTGCCCATGATTTTCATGTATGATGGGCTTTATATACCAGTTATCTGCCCAAAGAAATACATTTCTGTATCCTTTTGATAGGTCCAAAGACCTTCCAAGAAGGGCTGGTGACATAAAGAATGATGGAACACAGCCATTGTCGTGGAAGGAATAACCAGCTCATGACTAGGAGGAACTTCCGAATAATGGGACTGTAGTTGTTGTTATTATTATAATTATTATGATAATTATATTATAATTTACATAATTATGTCATAATTATCACTGTCATTATCATAATTATATCATAATTATATTTATTATTTTCTGGACCTAGGAAAGTTGGATTTGGATGGGCTGAAACTTTTCATGCTGTTTGATAAATGTGCGTGCCACAAAAAAATAATCTCAAATCTAATGTGAAATCTTTCTAAAGGAAAAGCTTTCAGCAGCCCCATTTAATTATTTCATACTGAATCTTACTTCAGCTTACTTGATGGGTTTTAGAAAGCTAGAGTCAAAACTCATCGCTGTGTTTAACCTTCAGTTAAACATTTCTTTTCAACCCAGAGCATGTTAGCTGCAATTTATATTTATTACCTTCTGCAAAGTTTGAGACTTTAATTTTAGGTGGCCAGGATGAACACGTGCATGGGAGTGATCTAAGTCACCAGAGGTACCTGGGGACCAGTAACAGTGTGCCTGAGACAGGCAAGGACCCAAGCTGCTGACATATCTGTAACCAAAACCAGCAAGAGAGTGAAGTCAGCCTCTCCTGTTGCCAGTCTTGTTGGACACCAGCTCAG